TGTCTGTCTGTCTGTCTTGCTGTGCAGAGCTCCGGCTTGTCAAGCAGCAGCGAGGCTCACTGCATAAAGTTAATTTCAATTCCCGATGAGACACTCACTCGGCAGCCCTCCCTGACCAGCGGTAATTAACAGGGATAGCTAATGACTACTTAACTCGCTCTTCATAATTATCTGGTTTTCATAATTCGATGTGTAATTTAATAATTCGCTCTTATTAACGTATTAAGTGAATGGCTCATTTAGGGGAAATTAGAAGCACTCACCAGGAGCATCTTTTAATTGATGAACCATCACCGCTGTCTCATTAATAAGGGTCGTTTTGATACTCTTAATTTGTCACGAGGATGGCGGTTGAACATGTTTGGCTTATGGATGAGTGTTATGAAGGCGCTGTTTTTCAGTTTAAAGACATTTTATTTAAGGTTTTAGTTGGATAAATGTTGAGGGAGGATATATGTGTATCTTTTAATGAATTAAAGTATTTATAAATTAATATAAAACATTTTTTAAAAATTGGTGGAAACTAAATTGTTTCCACTTTTAGGAAAGCCTGGAAGGTACTGATAATATTTGTATGGTTATAAAAAATATACTCGAAGCAGGGTTTTTTTGAGGGTATAACTTCTAATTAACTATTGATTGATTTTTTTTTTTTTTGTATTGCAAAATCACCTGTCTACCTTTCTGCTAAAATGTACTGTTATAATCAATTTGAAAAATTATCCCCAAAAATAATCCAATGCAAATGTATTCCAGGTGCTGTAGATAATCAGTGTAAAGGTGGAGGACAGGTTTCAGAAATGCTAATGTTTGGCTGGTGCAGCCTCTCAGGTATCTGTCCATGGTGCTGAAATATTCCTCATGCGCTCAACAAGCCAGCCAGCCAGCCAGCCAGCCCTGAAGCCCACAAACAGCAACTCTGCTGTGGACATGACATTCAAAATCCTCCCTTCTGTTTTTTTTTTCTTTTTCTTTTTTAACCTCCTCCTCATATCTAACCATAACTTCGAACCAAAGGGTTTTGCTTCAAAGCCCGTGTGCCCGCATGCAGGAACGAAGCATGTTTGAGTGTGTATTTAAATAGAGACGGGCACGTTGGCAGGCGAGCTGTTTTTCTGGCGGGCTGACATCTGGCAAGTCTGCGCTCCAGGGACCCATCCAGCTCTCTATAGACCCCCTGATTAGACTCTAATAGAATATTAGCATTTGCTCTCAGGTAAGGCAACAGTGAGCTGCATAAGCTGGCAGCAAGTCAGTGGAGGAGCCACGTGCGTCTTTAACATTGATGGAATATAGAAGAAGGGGTTCCTGCAAGGCCTGCTTTATGATGAGGCCTGGAGGAGGAGGTGGTGTTGAGGCAAAAAAAGAAGCCATTTCTAAATCCATTTTTTAGTTATTCATCTCTTATATTACCCATACAGTGGGAGAACAGATTGGGTTTAAGGGTGGGGGTGGGAGTTGGTGTATTGCTCATGGGCACATAAGCGCATGGAGCTGTTTATAAGATCAAACCTCACACCTTTTGGTGATGGCAAAGTCACCTTTAAAAATGGCAATATTAGCAGTCCAATAAGCTTTAAGAATCCACAGAATGTTTTTTTTTAAAAGCTGTGCAGCCCACAGCTAAACCGTTTCCATCCTCTTCATCAATAAATAAATAGATGCATAAATAAAAGAATATTAATGTCTGGATGAGCCATATTATACACTGTAGTCATGGAAAACGTCCAATTAAATGTTAAAGTTTTTTCTTTAATGAAACACATTGCAGTTCAATAATTAAATAAATTAAAATTACATGGATGTAATAAATTAATAGAATTATTTAACCAGGAACCAAAAGCAACATACATTACAGAAATAAGTTACCTCAGCTAAAACAGCAATACAGCAAAAACCTGTACGGATATATTTATGTGCATCGACTGGTTCCAATGAAATATTTACATTGTACACGTATACTTCCATGAAGCTGTTTCTTTTCTCTTCAAGAAAAAACATTAGTAAACAAGGTGATTTTTAACAAGCAACGACTTCATAATGATGCGCGTATATTTATACAAATAAATAGCAGAAAACATACATAAAATAATTTAAAAAGAGAATACTATCTCATATATATCTCGATTGTACCATCTCAAATGTTAGAAATCGTAAAATTAAAATTTTGTGACTGTATATTTCACAGTCGTTTCCCTTTAAACCAGAACAACACGCTTAACTTGCTGTCAGAATTTGATTTTCTCAAGCAAAACGAGGAGGGGGGAATCCCAATAAATATATAATGAAGTAAACATGACCTCACTCAATAAATAGTTCATAAGATACCGGCCCACGCTGGATTGTAAAACTTATTGCAGCCGGCAAGACTTCATATTTTTTTAATTTAGAAATTCTGTGAAATCCTTACAAGTGAGCCACTATTTCAATATCTCCACATACTGAGGCCTAATAATAAACAACCCTACTTTAGTCCAAACCCCGGGTATCTTAAAAATAGATCCCTGACTTTGATATCACACATGGTAACAAAATAAGTGGAATTAATTACACATTTAGACACAAAATGAAGTGTGTGACAAGTAAATTATTAATTTACAGGGGGGGAGAGGAGGAGGAGGNNGGTCATTTGGCAGTAATCTAATATTAGCTTTCAAGACCAAGTCGTGTATTGTCCTCTCAATCCCCTCATGGACCCTGAATAAATGTCAGACTGCATCGTCATGAACTCGGAAGGGAAAATGTAGCTTATCCTATAAGCCAAAAATATAAACATCAATAGTCACCAACCAAGTGCTTTGAGTTCAACTAGCCCCGCTGTGTGTGGATAAATTGCTAGTTTCAATGGGGGTGTTGGGGGGGGGGAGGGTATTTCTACTAAAGCAAACTATATTCCTCATTTGAAATTAATCATAAGTAAAAATTAAAGCACAGAGTCCTGTAAGTCATACTGCGTTGACATTAAAAAGGTGAAGCATAGTAAGTGTGGAAACAGTGTTCTTACTTGCTCTGTCAAACGATGCTTTACTTGACTCCACGTCTCCCCTCTCAGCGAGTAAAAGACGTGACTGTGGGCTGTTTTTGTTTTTTTTTTCTCTCGAGTTTTTCAGTCATTGTTCAATATTTAGGAATTTTTCGAAGTTCAAAGCACAAAGTCATCGATGATTGAAAAAAAGGTGTGAGATAGGAAATATGATACAAATCGTCTCTAAACAGTTCCAAGTCTTTTCGTGGGTGGAGGTTTAAAGCGATTCTTAGACGCATGCAGAGTATTTCATTCGTTTCTGTTTCTGTCGCTGGTTGCAAAACCAGACCCGAACCACGTTCTTTTTGAGGTCCAGCTTCTCTGCGATTGCTGCGATTTTCTCCGAGGAGGGACGCGGCTGAATGGCAAAATAGGCCTCCAGTGATCTCTTCTCTGGCGCGGCTATCGACGTGCGCTTCCTCTTTTTCTCCGCGCCGTTGAACAACTCGGGTTTATTAAGTTTCTCCCTGTGTGATTTCTCGGCTTCTTCTAGCCACGCTTGCAGGATGGGCTTCAAAGCAATCATGTTGTTGTGAGAGAGCGTGAGGGACTCAAATCGGCAGATGGTGCTCTGGCTGAGGGAGCCCACCCCAGGAATCTTCAGGCTGGCTAAAGCTGACCCTACATCCGCCTGGGTAACCCCGAGTTTGATCCGTCTCTGCTTAAACCTCTCTGCGAAGGCTTCCAAGTCCCTTGGATCGGCGTCCACGTCGCTCATGCCCATGTGCGGTGGTAGCCCGTGGGCATGAGCCATGTTGATGGCTGCCTGGTGCATGTGGTTCATGCCCGCCATGTGGGCAGGGTGCGCAGGCGTGGAAACCACCGAGCCATCCGGCCCTGCCATGGCTCCTAGTGCCAGTCCCGGGGTGATGTGGTCCAGCAGGTCCCCCTCCAGCGCCTGGTGGGGCTGGTGGTGGTGGTGATGGTGGTGGTGATGCAGACAAGGCGGAGGATGAGAAATAGGCACCGAAGAGGAGGAGGACGACGAGGTGCAGGGGAAGAGTGTTCATGGTGTGGTAAGGGGCTGTGATGTGGAGGGTGGTGGTGGCTCTTGGTCTGCGAGACTATATCCACCGCCGCTAGAGCTTCAGCCCGGGCCAACAAACTCTCATCCAAGCCTCCGAATATATTGCTCTGCAATTGCAAATAGAATGCACACATAACTGTCAGCAGGGAATTCTCCCTCCACTCCTCGGTTTAAAACATTTCCAGAATGTGAAAAAAAGAAATCCTAAAAAAGGGAGCACACAAAACAAGACACATGCAACATCCCAGGTCATAAAAATTAATACGAAAGGCAAAGCCGACTGAATACATAAGTTGAGCGGAAGAAAAAAATATGGAGGTGTTGGGTGATTTGCTGTGCAGACATGAAAAAAACATCAAGCAAAAAAAGTGGGCTGTCAAAATGTGCCTTTAAGCTGTGATTATGCAGAATACGTACCGGTGGGGTTGGGAGACAGGCTCTGCGCATCGCCTCCGAGCTGCTGCCGCTGCTGCTGATGATGGTGTTGCTGTGTCGGGAGGACGAGCAGGAGGACGGTGCATTGGAAGTCAAAGTGGAGGATGAGGAGGAATGCAACGAATACTTCGGTTCGGGCAAGCTGGTGTGGGCCATAGCAAAAGGCTGCTTGCTGTTCAGAGACATCATCATCATATTTGCGGGCGTCCAAGCCTCGGCAAGTTCCTTTTAATAAGTTAAGACTCCGCCTCCTCGGAAGCCCAATTGCTTCGCAGGAATCTCAAGTCACTGTCGAATAAAGTATTTGGCTGAAGACGGTCGTCCAACACTGAAGTTATCACATCTATGTATTATTACTAGCGGAGGTATGGAGGTGTCTCGTCTTTTTGGCAAGTGAGGCACAGACAAGCCATGCAACTGCGCGCAGCCGATACCTTTTTCCTTTGTGGACTTGTGGCGCGGTTGTTCAAAAAAGAAAAACCTTTCTGTTTTTTTTCCTCCTTCAACCGTCTCCACCTTGTAGCTATTATATAAATATAATTTTTTTTTTTGCCTTGGATATTTTTTTTTGGCAGAACTCCTCAAAGACGACGCCAGAAAAAAAAAAGATTAGAAAAAAAAGTTTCTTTCCGTCTCTTAGGATTTCCAAAATGCTTCAAGTTTAGAACAGTTGCCGCTTTCGTTGACCTGTTTGGGTTTTGTTTGTTTTTTTGCCAAAAGTTTCCGTCTTGAAATGACCGTAAGTGAGAAGTAATGGCGGTGACAGTCTCTGTACTGTACCTCTTCGACTACGTTGAATGCTGCGGGGACCCGAACTGCCTCTGCTCTGAGGCGAAGGGCAGACTGAGTCTCTCTCCGCCTCTCTCTCTCTCTNNCACACACACACACACACTGCCCCCTTCTCCTTTACGTCACCCACCCATCCATCTCTGGGAACCGAGGGAGTGAAGTGAACTTGAGGAGTTGCTGCCATTTCAATGCCTTTGGAGTATTTTCACCCTCTGGAGGGGAGGTGTTTGACCCCCACCTTTCCTCTCTCTCTCTCTATAGCTCTCTCAGTCTCTCACCCTCACACACACACACACACACACACACACACACATTCTCTTTTCAGCTGTACCTGAAAAACCCTTTCATGATTTATTATTCTTCATTAGCCACACCACCAGCACCACCACCACCGCCGCCGCCGCTGGGGACTCTGCGCATGGGCAGTCTGCGACAAGGCATTTATTTCAAATGAGTCTACTTCTTACCACCAACACCTCGTTACCGGCACCACGTCTTATTGAGTTCAGAGACTTTTCGAATTCCGATTTATTGCACCTGAAAATATTGTATTGTTGAATATTGTAAACGGATTTCAAACAGACAATTGCGCCTCTGATGAGACATCTCTTCTCCACCTGCTTAGCGCTAAATACACCAAAGTTATTAGCGTTAAATCAGATACATATAATATTGCTATGATTTTATTATTGCAGTTAAGGTTAAAATAATTGTAAACAATTAAATACAAGTTGTAATAGAATTGGCAACTCCTGAGATTATGGTTTATATCTAAATTTAAGGTGTAGGAAAGCTTTCATATAATCGCCAGCAATTTCTTTCTCCTTAGATTCTATGACAGTTTTATAAATCTTGAAAAACTTGTGCAAAATACCAGAAATAAAATAGTAAACTTATTAAGAAAATTATAATATTTTGTATTATTTTATGCTCGGTGCTTTGCATGCAGAACTAACATTACTCACTCAATACATGACGATTAAAAATAATTAGCAGTATTTAATTGCATATCTATATACTTGTCATAGCAGGCTATTATCTTATCTTTCCTCTAATTAAACCACGCCATCAGTAACGCAATTAAAACATTTAATCACGTTGTAATTAACAAGGGGTGTCTAATTTGTTTAATATGGTCACGTCTATAGGATGAGATAATTGTTATGATGTGAAGTCACTCCGGAGGTTAGAAAGCATTCTTATGGAAAACAATGCCTCTTGGTTTTGTTTTTATATTTTCCTGTATGCCTCAAATTTTCTCAAAACACCCCTCTTTTCTCTCTCTCTCTCTCTCTCTCTCCCTTTCTCTCTCTCTCTCTCTCTCACTCTCTTTTTCCTCACACATACACACGCACAAGAACGTACGACATCTCGTATCTGTAATGAAGCAGTGATCAATGCCTTTGACAGACAGTGTTTTGACCCCTTAATCACCTTAAATGTGTTAATAATATCAATCGCTAATGTTTCCAGGATTCCACAGTAATTCACCTTTTCACCTCAGATTATGAAGCATGGTCTTATCCTAATTATACACTGCTACACACCGCTGCACCCGGTATGTGGCCACAGCCTGTGCACCGTTCCAATAAAAGTCTATAAGCATTTTAATCGAGGCTACCTATGTTGCCGCGTTAACGTAGACGCCCTCTTCTGAAAACGTGGGGGTCTTTGTGAGCGACTACACGTCAATTCCTGTTTTATAATGCTGTTCCTGCACATAGATATTTAATATGTCCAAACCTTTATGCCTGCGACAAAAAAAGCATGTTGGTGTTGCTGCATATCAGTTTTACATTGCAAGAGAGAGAGAGAGAGAGACACCCAGCTGCAGAAATATGTTGCCTCCCCAGCGGGACAACAGGCGCTGCTGGAGCCACCTCCAGACACCAGGAGACAGAGATCAGGCTCAGGAGACATCAAGGAGCAATCAGTGTCTGCTCACATATACCGACAGACTGATTTATGATGAAACTTTAAAGAAATCATTTATATTTCACCACCTCTAAATTGGTGTATGAAATTTTCATCCACAATGAAACACACAAAAAAGTATATCTTAAGTCAAATAAATCAACCCGAGCTGCTCCCAAGCAATCGACTTTGAAGTACATTTTCGTAACACTTTTCGTGAGTGTGTTCATGTACCTTTTATTTCCTATGCCAACAGCTTTCTCACGTTTGAGGGAGGACAGTGTGTCAGACTGATTAAGAGAATTACCTTTGAAGTGTCTTACCATGGCAAACAGAAACACAATGAAGTGGCAATCTCGGATATTTAAGTAAGAATAACAGATCTTTGTTATCTAATATCAAAATGGGTTTAAATATCATATAATTTAGTTTTATTTTTGTAATGTTTAATTTGTATTTGCTTATATGGGGCTACAGTAGCACATTATATTTATATATTTAAATTTAATTTAAAATGAGTCATTAGCAAAAATAAACCTAACTCATGATAAGACTTTACTGAGGAAAGACAAATATACAGGTTATAACTGCATTTCAGAATTGTTTTAGTGTAAAACAAATATTTTAATATATATATAAAAAATCCTCTAAATGACAAACATCTTACACCATTGAGATCGGGCTGGTTTTGTTTTCACTTTTTAAAAATTTGACTGTATCATCAGCTAAATGCCCTTCCAGTTTTTAAATATTTTTGTCCTCAATTTCTGTCATCACACCAATGCAGTAATTGGAGCGAATGTTGCTATCATAAAAACACTTGTCTCAACGCTGGAAGGTGCAGTCATACCTTGCCTTTAAAAACATAAACCCTCAGTAGAATTGTGCACAAAATGATTTCCCTCACTTCAAGGAGCTTTACTACATATAAATAAATAGGCACTGTCTAAAAATAAAAGTAAAGCCCAAGTAAAATAGAGAGAGCACATGCAGCAGGGCTTGATATAACTCAGGTGACTTGTTTGCTTTTTTTCCTCCTCACTCTCTTACTTACATCCGAATCAAGGAGTGCTGCAGAGGTGTCTGTGTGCTTTACACAAAGACATACTCTTCTCAGTCTCCCTCAGGAGCTCTCCACGTTAACAATCCCAATTACACCGAGACCACCAGAGACAGCTGTTTTTATTACAGAACCGCTCCTTTGTGCCGCCAACAAGGTATCTCCGCTCCTAGACTGAACACAGAGATAAAGCTACACTGAGAGACAGAGAGAGGAGAGGGAGAGAAGTGTGGAGTGAAGTGGATGAAGTCTCTTGGCTGCTCGCAGTGGTGATGCCTTTATTCACAGCTTCCCCCTCCCTTTTCTGATCTCGTGGAGCTCTTTACATGTCGGAGCAGAAGGTCAATGCTTGTTGGGAGAGGGCCTACAAAGAGATCAGGATCTAACTCAAGGCAACAGCAAATCACACAAAGAAGGGGGTGTTTCAGCCTCTAACAGCGGTGTTTTATTTATTCATCTGCTTTACCTGGGAAATGTGACAGGTTCCACAAGGAACATTCTGGCTTTAATGTGTTGTTTAAATGCATACAACAAAAGGTAGAAGCCTTCAGGATTTACTAAATGTCACACACTGTACTGTAGCTCTCAGAGGGAACAAGTGGCTCACCACTTGAGATAATGAAAGAGGTTTCAAAAACTGCACTTGAATTGCAGCTCAACTGCTATACAAACAGTGAGCGGGATTTCTATTTCATGTCTGTGTGGGGCTAAATAAAAGCATTAACAGTAAGCAAGATATTCTAATTACTTTTATAGGTGCTTGTTTGTGTGTGACATTTTATTGGAGCCACTTTTCCTAAAACTGTTTAGTAAGACCTGGAATGTTTGGGAATCTAGTGTTAAGGACATTACATTTTACCTCTTGTATGATAAAATATCTGTTCATTTAATGATAACAAAAGGATATTGGAACATGAAATAATGCCACTAAAAGTGCCAATAAAGTCAAAAATTGCAGTGTTAAATAGCTTCATAATATATCAATCTTATCACCTCTGTGTTAAACCACCGCAGCCCAGTTGCCCTAGTAATTACGTTCATATTAGACAATTTTATAGTGCGATGTGGAAGTTAGTGTGGTGGATGCAACTTTAGCGCATCCCATCTTCATGTAGAATGATAGAGTTTGCCTGTTTTTGAGGTCTAACAAATAATGACGTCTATTCTTTGTGATCTTTCCCTAATCTAAAGGTGCCTTAATAAATTTTTTGCCACTTGGGGTAATGTAAAAACATTGACGTTTTTTCACATAATAAAGTTATATGGTAAACAAGTTAGCAAACAGTTGCAAGAGCCATTTAGCATTTATTTTGAGTCGTATTTGTGTCCACCTGACAAATATAAGTCCAATATTCCTCTTCATTTTGCTCTGTTTTGGTCTACACCAACTCATTGGAGAAATGTTGGGCTTTTCTGTCTGTTTGCTTCTTGG